AATTATTGGTGCTTTAATCTCTCTGTGATGTGTTACATGTTTATGAGTTTCTCTTCACAAATTAAATATCTACAGAAAGCTTTGAAGTTTTTTTTTTTTCAATTTTCATCTGCGCAACAATAGCAGTTTACAATGTACTCAATTATATCATATCTGTTTATCCAGCGATGAGAGCTCACAAGGCTTTTTGCCGGTTTCTTGTTTTCTTTTTCTTTATCACGGTTTTTTTTTCTATTGAAGGTTTCTCGGTTTTCTTAGAACTATGAGCTATGAATTTTAAAATGATTGTTTATATTGTACTGTAGGACGAAATGTCAATGTCAGATCAGATGGATCTGCTGGTCGAGCAAGTTAAGATGCTTGCTGGAGAGATTGCATTTAAAACCAGCACACTGAAACGCTTGGTTGAGCAGTCTGTTGATGATCCTGATGGTTCTAAAGTTCAGGTATGGTTTGTCATGAGTTTTCTTTCTTTGCTGCATTTTTACTCATGTCCACGTTCCTTCATCCAGATCCAGGACTTAGAACATGAAATTCAAGAAAAGAAGAGGCAAATGAGGGCTTTGGAACAACGAATTGCTGAGGGTGACAAGTCTTCAGTTTCTAGTGCATCAGTGGCTGAAATGCAGCAGGTGCTGCTTCCTTGAGCTCATTGACCTTCCTTCAAGTACTTCAATTTACTTTTATTAGAAATTTAATTAGGTTTTTTTTTACTGTTTTTGTATGGTTGCAGACTGTTACAAGATTAATGACTCAGTGCAGTGAAAAGGACTTTGAGCTGGAGGTAAATTTTCTGAGTTATATTAATTAAAGGACTTTGATACTGCAATGTTGTTCAACTGATTGAAAGGTTGATTTAATGCATGCTGCTGGTCCAATAGTAGGATACACGATCACCACACCCCAGATAATTGCAAAATCTCTTATCTATTTACTTTCTTCTCTTGATTCAGATCAAAACGGCAGACAATCGTGTTCTTCAAGAGCAATTGCAGAATAAGGTTTGTTGCCATCTCTTTTTGTTCCCTATTTTCCACTATATACCTGTAGTAGAAAATTCTTCGAGCATTTGTATTTGTACCTTAATTAACAAGCTTCCTTCTCATTGTTCTCCCTTTGTTTAGTTTTGGAACATCACTTGTTTCCATATTTGTCTGCTGGCAGTGTGCAGAGAACAAAGAATTACAGGAGAAAGTAGAACACTTAGAGCATCAGTTGACTTCAGTTACTAGCAATAAATTGCCAACTTCATCTGAACATTGTCTTCCAGAAAAATATATCGAAGAATTAAAAAAGAAGATTCAATCTCAGGCAAGGCTTTTCACTTTTGGTTGACTACTCTAGTTGATTTGTCGATACTGATTCTTGATGCTTTCTCTATAGTATTACTGCCATGATTGAATGAGACCGTTGATAGTTTATAAGGATGAGTCGCTGTACTGTATGCTTCTTTACAACTTGACTCGTTTATTCTGTATCTTTGTTTCTTTAGTCTATTATAGAAAGTAATGTGACCTGTATATGTTTGTTTCCCTTTTCAAAAAAAAAAAAAAAAAGGTAATCTATATATACATATTTGATGTTTTTTTTATAACTTGGAGAAAGGGCTGTGTCTGGATTACTGAAGCTTGTTTATTTAAGCAGGAGATTGAGAATGAAAATCTGAAATTGGAATCAGTTCACTTTTCAGAAGAAATAAGTGGGTTGCATGTACAGAATCAAAAATTGGCAGAAGAAGCTTCTTACGCGAAGGAGCTAGCCTCGGCTGCTGCCGTTGAGTTGAAAAATTTAGCAGCTGAAGTCACCAAGCTCTCCTTGCAAAATTCAAAATTAGAAAAGGAGTTATTGAGTGCTCAAGAATTGACACACTCTAAAAATACACAGAATAATTATGGTGGGAATCGTAAGTATAGTGACAGTGCGAGACCTGGAAGGAAGGGGAGGCTCTCTGGCCGATCTAATGATGTTTCAGCGGCAGCCTGTGACGATTTTGATTTTTGGAATCTTGATCCAGATGATTTGAAAATGGAACTTCACGCAAGGAAACAAAGAGAGGAAGCCCTTGAGGCTGCTTTAGCCGAAAAGGAACTTCTCGAAAATGATTACAGCAAGAAAATGGAAGAGGCAAAGAAAAGGGAGGCAGCTCTCGAAAATGATTTGGCCAATATGTGGGTACTGGTTGCTAAGTTGAAGAAAGAGGGTGGAGGTGGAGCTATCTCAGATGTTAAAAGTGATGCAAGGCAGGATTCTGGAATGGACGATATTATCGATACAACAACGACAAATGATAATGAAACTCTGACCATCTCTAAAGAAGACGCTGATCCTGTTGATGATTCGAAAAAACCAGAAGAAACTCGTGAGGAAGAACCGGAACCATTGGTTGTTCGCCTAAAGGTATGAAATTTTTTTCAGCATCAGGTGTGCAATATGTTTCGATTATTCCCACCCTTCATAGAAATTCATTTTAGTGACATACTTTTCAGGCACGGATGCAAGAGATGAAGGAAAAGGATCTCAAGTGCCTAGGAAACGTTGATACGAATTCACACATGTGTAAAGTTTGTTTCGAGTTGCCAACCGCAGCAATTCTTCTTCCATGTCGACATTTTTGCTGTAAGTTTTCTTAAACCTTCTAAAAATACTCCTACAGTTCAGTTCCTGATTCTAATTTCCGGCTTTCTGAAACTGCAGTATGTAAATCTTGTTCACTTGCATGTTCCGAGTGTCCAATTTGTCGTACAAAGATTGTAGATAGGCTCTTTGCGTTTACTTCTTGACATGCTGATACATGTCCTTTTCCCACAAGGTAACTCATACTTTCCCTTCTATTCCATCAACCTCGACCACAATCGGCATTGCCTGTCGTGATCCGAAACCTTGTCCATCGACTCGTTACTGCTTTACTGTACCATCAAACATGCAAAAACCTGTTTTACTTCAGTTTTATGATCATGTACTGGCAGGAATTCAATATTCTCAACTGCCTGCAATCTACCATACTATCCAGGACGAGATTCTTTTATTAGTTTTGCTTATATGCAACTGTACAAAAGGTACATAATTATTGTTTATTGTGTTCAAATCTTTGAGAGATGTAAAATAATACCAAAAGAGAAGATCTGCATATTAAAAAATTCATCTTTGAGAGATGGAAAGCTTTTTTTTGGCTTATTAGTTGTTTCAAACTTTCATTTTAAATATGCAACCACTTCTCTTTTTACCTTCTGGAGAGAGCCCCAATCCTTTTCTCTCTCTATATATATCATTATCATTGAATCATTGAAATCATTCACATTGTGCTTGTAGAACCAATTCTCTGTTCCTCTTTGATCTGAATATTATAATTCGTTCATAGGACTATCTATTCTATTGGGCTTTTATTTTTTAAGACTATTTATGAGATTTTGAATCAGTAGGATTAAGTTCTAATTTATATTTTGGTTGGTTTTGATGGACTTTAGAGCTGTAGATTTAAGGAAGGGACAACATAGGGTTGCAGCTTGCAGGAATATTGTTGGGAATTTATGGGTTACTCTGAAAGAAGCATTTAAATGCAACGGAGGTTTAAAATTGATAAAAGAGGAGTCTGAAATGGAATTGAATTTGTTGAATATACTTTGTTTTTTCATTGCAGTGAAATTTTTGGGTAATTATTTCATTCACTCTGAACTTAAATCCCTCTATTTTTTTAATTGCCAGATTTATTCTATTTTATTTTATCTCAAGTTTTATTCTAAAAAATTCCAAATTTATTCTATTTTCTTTAAAAAGTAACTATTTTGGCGATGGTAGTTTTTTTTTTAGTTAAATATTTGATGGAATAATTATAAAATATTAAAATAATCATTTTTCTATAGTTCAAGGATGGAAATGTCATTTCTTAAAATATAAAATAAATAAATAATGTATATTTTAAAATTTTAGAAGTTTTAATGAAGTGAATTTTTAACTCGTTTAAAATATTTAAATTTAATTCTACTTTCAATAAATCTTCATATTTGCTCATTTTATCTATTATTCTTCCAATAAATTTCGAAAATATATATATATATATATATATTTTTTAATGAAAACTATTATTATTATTGAGATTTTGACTAAGTTCGGTTAAACTAAGATAAAGAGCCTCGCTAATGATGAAATATACGAAAAAGGGCTAACGGTAAAAACTAATATTGAGATTTATTACAAACACAGACTAAAATAAAATAAGTTGAATAGAGTATTTAAACTAGTCTTTGCTATTTTATTTAATTTAATTTCTATGGAACTTTTTTCTCTCTTTCTAGAATTTTATTAACATTTATAGTGTGAAAAAAGAATGGTGGAGGAATTCATTAGGATTATTAATATTATAGGTGAAAATATTTAGTTTGAAAGCTTACAATGATTGGAAGCAATTATCGAGCAATCATTACAATTTTGCTCCATGTATTGATGGTAGGATGATTTGAATACTACAGGAGCATCACACTTCAAAGTTCTATGAAATTATTCTATTATTTTGTGTTGGATGGAAGTCCTGTATCGGCTAATTTAGGGAATGATCATAGTTTAAAAATCAAGGAATACTATCTCCATTGAGGTGAGACATTTTGAAGAAGCCTAAAGCTATATCGGCTAATTTAGGGAATGATCATACTATCTCCATTGGGGTGAGACATTCTGAAGAAGCCTAAAACAAAACCATGAGAACTTATGCTCAAAGAAGATAATACTTATACCATTGGGGAGAGTCGTTCATCTAACATTTTTTTAAAATTGTTTTACACTCAAATTCAAATTTGTTAAAAGATGTTCAATTTTAGTATAAAATTGAACAAGTAAATAACACTTAAATGTCAAAGTGAGCATAGCTGTGCTAAACTTACCCCGCTAAAAAAATATATATATTTAAACTATTGTTTTATGAAATGGGTAAAAGAGAGTGAGAAAGATGCTAATTTTAGTATAGGAGAATGTTCCGAAACACATGGAGTTGCTTTAGTTGCCAAATCAAACCAAACAACCAAAGACATTTTGATTCCATTCTCATCATAAAATCATTAATCACTTTAAATTCAGCAAATGAAATGGCAATCTAAAGAGTGGGAGTAAGGTAAAACATGCAAATCAGCAGCAACAAACAAAAAGTTAGTTTCTGTTTGTTTTTTGATTTTACCAGAATTGTTTTCAGAGCAAAAGTTGCTGATGATCTTATCAGCCACCGCCATTTTTTCACCTCTACAAGTTTTCATGGAGATTCCAACTCCATTCCAAAATCCAGTTTGAGAAAATTTACCTACAAATTCCAAGGTGTTGCCAAATCTTTCGATGCCTAGTGATTCCTGTTGCCTCTCCAGATTTTGGTTCCCAGTTGCCAGAATTTCGCCGTTAAACTATACCAATCCAAAGTAGGAACCATCAGAAGATGATGATGAAGATGAAGAGGAAGAAGAAGAATATGGAAGTTCATGAAAGTACTCTCAATCTATGCAGAGGGCGTACTGCAAACCTTACAGAAACGATTGGCAGCGGCGGTGGAAGGATCGAGAAACTCCTCCACGCACCATCCCGGCAATGTCTCCAAATATTCCGATATGCTGCTAGTCGAGAACGAACCTCCGTCGCTTGCTTGGCCGTCTTCGACCTTGTAATTACTTGTCGACGGAGCAGCTTTTTCAGAGGAAGGAGAACTCGAGGTTTCGTGCGCGGCCATTTTAGGGCTCTTGCTGCAAGCGTGGGAGCTTCGAGTTTTAACATCCATGGCAGCATTGTAGCCATTGGAGGACGAAGATGTTTGGTACGAAAAAGAAGTCGAAGAAAGCTTCACACCTGTGAGAAGAAATCGATTGTGCTTCTGCGTACGTTCGTTCGTTCCGTGAATCGAAATGTCGCATTCTCGGCAAAGAATGGCCCTATCTTGTTGACAGAATACGAGCGCGCGCCGTTCCTACATACGAAATCCGAGGTCAAAATCGATTTTAATTTGAAATTTCAGAAAGAAATAAGAATCCTCTCCGCCAAATCATTCAAACTCCAAAAATCGAAGAAACGAACGAGATCAGAAACCGACGAAAGAGAGTAGATATTTCCAAGAAAGGTACAAAAGAACGCGAAGATTCTCTGCAACATTGATTCGATTTTACAGAAACCTCAAAACAAAGAATCAAATCGCACAGCAGCAGAAACATTTTCCAGAGCCAGAATCAAAAATACCTGACAGATATCGCAAAGAGGAGAATCGATTTTGATCGGCTGAAGTAGGGAGAATCTCGAGTGCTTTCCGGCGAGCTTGTTAGCGCGGTGAACATGGAGATCGCAGCCATGGCAAAGAGCGGCTTCATCAGCAGAGCAAAAAACAGAGGCCTCAGCTTGATCACAAACATCGCAACGGATCTTCATGATCCTTCCTTCCTTCCTTCCTTCTTTCCTTCCACTGAAGAAACCAAATCTTGTGTTGGCTCGATTTCACCTCTGAGCGTTGCCTTTTCCACAAGGTGGATTTAACGCGAAGATGGAGCCAAAGTATTATGGGCTCTTCGCCATTACTGGACAAGACTTTATTGCTTTCTGACATTTTAAGAAAAGCTCTAGAAAAATCTGCCATGCCCCCCCCCCTTCTCTCTCTACTTTCTCTCTCTACTCTCATTTTTTCTTTTCTTTCTGAAAATGGTTTGAAAAATAATAGATATTTTACTTTTATTTAAAAACAAAAATTAAAATAAATAACTCCTTAAATCTTTTAATAAGAATTATTTCAATTAAAAAATTTACCGTTCAAATAATTAAAATATGTTTATAAAAATTTATAATTTGACTCTACTGTGTCAGAGAGTCGTGTTCATCTAACATGGTATCAAAATCATGCCCTAAACACAGTCATATTAATACAATTCTCAAATCTGACTCCAAAAGAAAAAGGAGTCAGGCTCCTCGGAATCATGGTAAAAAAATAACTAAGACTCCAAAAGAAAATGAGTCGAACCTTAATTAAGCAGAGACGTACTTTGTTCGAGGGGAGGTGTTGGATGAAATACCGTCATCTAACATATCCGACTCATAAATAACTCTCGTCAATGATCCAACAGAATTTATCTCGATTTTAACAATTTTATCGAATAATTTATTAGCCAACAACTTTGGACTGCCCTTATGAGCTTTTAATTTAATGCTTCCATTTTATGGTAGAAATAATAATAATAATAATAATAATAATAATAATAATAATAATAATAATAATAATAATAATAAGTGTTATTTTTGTTTCTAGATATTTGTGTAAAAGGGAAGGTGGGAACCACCTCATCAAGATGTTAACAACTTCCTTTAAAAGCTGCGTGTAAATATCTCTCTATTTAAGGTTGGTACACAAATAACCATGGTTATCTGACTATCATCCATACTACAAAAAATGATCGGTATATGTTTAATAGATTTCTAAACTTTAAAGTGTCTAATAAAGATATTTTATTAGAGTTGAGTAGTCTACTGTCATCCTCAAATTTAAATTCAACTCGACTCAAATCTAATAAAATCTAGCCCAACCTAATATTTATGGTTTTGGTTGAATAGTCCGAGTTGGTTCAGTTGATCCGGCTAACCCGACACAAAAATGTCAACTTGCGAATTGACTTGAATTGTTTAGTTTTTCAAAAATTCAACTTAAATTGAAAAAAAAAATCTAGCTCAATCTAATCTTTAAAATCAACATATAAAGTACGATAATTTAAAATTTTGATCTCGATAATATATATTTTAAATATATGAATTAGATTTTTTCTCTTTTTTATTTTTTAAATTAATGAAAATGTTTGCTTAATCCACCACATTAGCGGTGTGGGAAAGTTCTCTGTTTATAATCAAATAAATTACAAGGATATATTAATAAATGGAAAGATGTATATATAGAAAGATTCTTATATAAATTAAATATGATATTATAAGGTATGTTAAATACAATTAACCATTTTTATATTTAATATTTTAAAAATATTTTTATTTAAAATTTACATTTATATTTATTTGAATCTCAAAAATAGGCGTCGGCCAAAAAAGACACTAGGGGGACATTATTGTACTTTGGACTCTTCAAATGGGTCACTTTGAAATAATGAGCTGGAGGTGGGTAGTCTTACCAAATAATAATAATAATAATAATAATAATATAATTATTAGATATATATATATTTTTTAAATAAATACATTTATCAGCGTCTTAATTTTTATTATAAACTTTCGATTTCATTGAATTAAAATTTCGATTTAAATAATTATTGCAATTTTTTTATTAATTTAACCAAATTTTTATCAGACCTATGTGGTGAATATTATTTTTAATATTTTGTCAAATAAATGTCTATAAAAAGTAAAAATTACAATTTTTTTTTTTTTAAATTGCGAGTTTAGAATTATAATAACTATGATATTTAATTTGATAAAATTAATAATTCAGAGTAAAAAAATAATTTATTTTTCTTTTTTCTTCAAAAATATATGGGGGTAATTAATATTTTGAATAAACCATTCTTATATAAATGAATTATTAAAAAAATAACCCATATGAATACAATATACTTTTAATAATTTTATAGTTTATTAAAAAATGTAAAATACTTTTTTTTTCTAATTAAAATAATCTTATAATATTCTTATTTTTCTATTAAAAAAATTATTAATACGATACTCTATTTATATTTTCACCGACATCTCAACTCAAATCTTGGCATTTATATAGTCGTAGATACTTTAATTCTCGACTGTGACAACGTACATATCAAAGTATATATGGACCCACCTTAAATAATACACAATAATCAATAACGTGACGGGACATATTTATTTCATAGCTTTATCAATTTGAGCATAGTTTAACTAATATAAAACCTGTTTTAATGAATATTTATTTATTTATTTTTAAAATATACTTTACCATACGTTTTTAATATATAGTTGGGTGACTAAAAATATTATTGGATGATAAGTCAATTTCAAATATGGAAATTGTGATTTGAATATTAATTCCATTAAATTGACCCAACTCAAAATCTCAATGGAAAACAATCAATTTTGAGAGCTAAAGGACAAATTTAACCTTTTGAACGGTAGTATGTTTAACGATGGGGAGGTTTGGCACCTTTATGTCGGCTCTTCAGCACCTGGAGTTGTAGTATGTTCCAAGGGTTAGGTTTTTCGTCCATTAAAGCGATGTGTGAGCTGGATTCAAAACGTCGGGAGATAGTTTGTGTGAGATCCCACATCGGTTGGATCCAGTTGGACTCTCAAGAAGGTAGATTGTGAGATCTCAAATCGGTTGGAGAGGAGAACAAAACATTACATATAAAGGTGTGAAAACATCCCTCTCTCTATCAGACATGTTTTAAAACCATGAAGTTAATGACGATATGTTCCGAGAGATATTATTAAAATAATAGTAAAATTTGAATTTTTGGAAACATTATATTATATATATATATATATATATTTATTTATTTTATTTAATAAAAAGTATATTAAAAAATAAAAATTATTCCTTCAAAATTATTTTAAAGGATTGTCTTGAAATGGAAAATTAAATATAACGTTAATAATACGCAGGAAAAAAAAATCAAGCTGAAAGAAAAATATATTTTTAAAAATTGTTTATAACCTACGTGGCATAATTTGGGTAGAAGATGGGCTGGGCTTATAGCAATTTGTTGGACCTCAATTTTCAAATGGCTTCAGTTTCAGAATACTTGGGAGGAACGGATTTGGGTGGTGTTGGATGAATGGTCGTTAGCGCTCTCTCCCGCCACACTCTTCTCACTGCTTCCTGCACTTCAATGGCGTCCTTCTTGCCATCTCCTGCTCCGTTCCTTCGCATTGCTCCTGTTTCATCTTCTTACCGCCTAGTATTTCTTCTATCTCTCTCATCCTCTGTCTTCTGCGAGTAATTTTCGATGATCTGCTTGTTTTTTTTTAATCTTCTGGTTCTTTTTTTGTTCCTTTTCATATTGCTAATTTAGTTGTCGAGCTTGCCGAGGCGATCGAGGTTTTTTCATTGGTTCATTAATTTTAAGTTAACTGGTGTGGAAACCGTTGAATGTTCTCTGTATACTTGGATGAACTGAATCGTGTTTGTTTTATTACTTTCCGTATATGTGAAGGATTTTGCTTCGTTTTCATTTTTCATCTCTCAGCTCCTGTTTTGTTTTTCCTCGTTTTTTGTTTGGTTGCCGAGAAGATTCATCTCGATTGAACAATTTTAAGCCAATCGATATGAAGACTGGTTGAATGTTCTGAGTATACATAGGTGAACTTAATTGTGCATTTGTTTTCGTTCAAATGTTAACTTTTCAGGCATTTTTCCCAAGCATTTTAAAATAGGATCATATCTGTACTCAAAATCATGGTTGTTTTGTAGATTGCATGTCTCTTTTTAATCTTGTTTGTGTGTGTGTTTGCGTATAGTTGAATCAGTAATTACAGGCACTGTTTCTTTATTTGACGTGGATTTTTTATGTTTGCCCTCCCTCCTCTATTCTTTTAGATTTCAAATTTTCAGAAATGGAACAATGGAGTTTTCGGGATATGGAATCTCAAAGCATTTCCCTTAAATTCAATGAACTTCAAAAGGAGGTAATAAGTCTGTGGCCAGTAATTTTACTGGTAGATGCACTTGAGAATGAAGCATGCTTGCTAGTGCTCTTTAGTTTGTGGAGGTTGATTGATCTTTAGATATGCTTTTATCTTCTCTCCTGTTCGTCTGTGTTTATTCGTACCTCCTACATTCATTTATGCCATTTCTAATTAATGCTATGAGTTTTCTCCATGACGGAAAAGGTATTTTCAGATAAGAAGTGTGTGATTGACTAAATTGCCTCAGGTTTATATAGGTAAACTACTGTAATAGAAGCAATTATATCTAGGTTCCCTTATATTATTCTTTCTTTGATTAAAATTCCAGCTAGGATTACTATAAAATTTAGAGAAATGAATCTGAGATTTCCACTGTTGTGGAGTAAACAACGAGGAATCCTACAACTAAATCAAGGGGACGAATGCTTCTCTTTCTATTGATAAAGGAGTGCTCAACATTGGCATTTAAGGAAAAAATGAGGCTCTTTTAGCTAAATGGAAATGCAGTTTTTTAAATGAATAAAAAGTTGAATGGAGAAACATTGTCACTAGCAATTGCAAGGTTTAACCAGGAATTGGAAAAAAAAAAAAAAAGAAAAACTGATATTGTAAAGCGTTAGAAGCCCTTGGAAACGTGGGTTTTTTTTGTCAGTGTGGTAAAACTTGGCATGCCTTTTAAGGTAGTAGACGAGGCCAATCCATTTTTAAAAGCCAATTTTGATAAATTCTATGCTTGACACGAGCACAACCTTGATTGGAGCCATTTGTATGGTCAAGACCCCCAAGAATTCATGATGTTTCTTTGGAACTTGGCCTCGGTGGGTTTAAACATGATTGATTGGGTGCAAAAGAGATACTTCTCACCTCCAACATAATATGTGCTCTTCGCAAAGCTAACAAATCAACAGTGGATCAAATGCATGTTTTTCTACATTGTTCTTTCTCCCACTCTATTTGGTCTAAACTTCTGGGAGATTTCAGTGTCTCTTGGCATGTTCTAGTGAAGTTCTTTTCAACTCTTGTTTGGGGTCAGATTCGAAGGAGAAGTCTTAAATCTCATGGGCCAATATAGTGAAGGTGTTTGTTTTTCTTTTTCAGGAGAGTTTGCGTTGAAAGAAACTGAAGATTTTTTTTAGGGAAAGGTTAGTTAAGGATAAGGAAGTGTGGGATTAGAAAGATTTCTAACAAGTGCTTTTGGAAATGAAACTATGATTTTTTTTTTTCCCCTGTAAATGCCTAACAATTTTTTCTTTTCAAATTTTTTTCTTGTATTCTTCATCCTTTCTTATTTTATTTTTTATTTTATTTATTTATTTTTTTTTGTAAAAACTAACTGCGAGTAGAAATGTAACCCACAAAAATCCATTCATTCCAAATTATTGAAATAATCAAAGTTTATCTTTTACTTAGGCTATGCTATTTCAAGGGTCATACACGCTCACATCTACTCTTCTTAGCTTGCAGCATGTAAAGTTCAACGTTTGCTGCTGCCAACAAGTTTTGGTCCCTTTTAAATGAAACTTTATTTTTTATTATCAGGAGAAATAAAATTAAAGCCTTGTCGTTTGTAGTATCTTTGACAAGACATTAATATTGAGGCAGGAAGGTATCAAATTATTTTTCCCTTGAAGGTTCATTAAAATGCCTAAAAGGAAAGTTTGGGTTCTCTTGGTAGCTTAAACTGACTGGATAAGTCGGCTATCATTGATTGAGTAACTCAAAAAAATTTGGATATTTATTTTCTAGATGTGATTGCTTAAACTACCCTTGAGGAAACTTCGTATTTTGTGTTTTAATGTTGATAACCATTCCTGTTATTAATAATATCACATAAAAAATCTATATAGAACAAATAGTTTATGTAGAAGTTCTAGTTTATCGCCGTTTTTGCTTCTAACTAATGGAACCAATGGAAGTAAATTTGCATGTTTGGGTCTAATACAGGAGAAGTTTAATATATGCAGTCAATCAAGATGCTGAGGAAGCATTCAAGAAGACTGTAGAAGTTGATAGACTGATAGATGCCCTGAGGGATGCAAGTTCAACAGAGGTAAGTACAATTCGTTGCCATTTACTAATTACTTGTGGTTTTCTTTATTTAAAAGTTTGTTTCTTTTACATCACAAATTTATTTTCACTTTCTATCACTCTTTTTCTGTGAACCTGTTGAGTATACTTGGGGAAAACCTTGAAGATTTATTTCATTAGTTGTATTTTAGATTTTGTAAGTCTGCCTGTGTGTAGCAAGCTGGTAATTTTCTTCTGAATTGCAACTTGCAATGTGTCGAACATTTGAATACTTGTAGAATGCGGGTGACAACATTTACCAAGTTAGACCATGTTTACATTGCATTTACTATTATAATTGGTTGACCTTTTTTAGACCCTATATGCAAATTTTCAATCAGTTTATTGTTATGGAAATATTTTTTAAGATTTTAATCATATTTTGGTCCATTAACTTTAAAGTTTATTCCATTTTGGCTGTGAAACTATTAAAATATCTATGTCAGTTCCCAAGCGTTAAAAATAATCAATTTGATCCTTACTACTATTCTACCACCCACTAGCCATTCATTTACACTTGCCTCCCACCAACTGATGTGGTTTCAATGCATGCTCTTGCTCATGTTAGCATGTTATGCATATACCCAAGGCCACACGATCCATTTGTTTACTTAATTGTGACGAAGTAACAATGAGAATCAAAATAATTCTTTTTTTTTTACTCGAGAATTTAAATAAACATTTTAAAAGTTTAGAGATGAAGATGGAGCAAACTTTAAATTTTAAAAACTAAATAGAAAATTTGAAAATTTAAGGACCAAAATGGATTTAGAGACCAAAATGAGATTTACACCAATGTTTAAATGAAATTGTTTGTGGATATGAGGCATTCTAATAATGGTGGCTCGGACTGTGAAGTTCTAAGTTCTTTCTTTCACTGTTTCTTTTCAAGTATAAAAGGATCTTATGTTGAACACAACTCTCTGTGGGAAACACTCGCACACTTTATTAAGAACAATCGAGAAGAGAATACAAGACACTCTGTAGAACACTACTACTTTGTATTGCTTGTGATTTCTTGGGATGATGAACTAGGTAGAGTGGAGGGGTATTTATACTAGATGGTAGTCAATCTATTCCTAAAATTTCTCCATGTTTTTCCTAAAATACCTAAATCATTTTCCTAACTTTATTCCTAAAATCCCTAGATCATTTTCCTACATTTATTCCTAAAATCCTAAATCATAAATATAATTACTCATACAATGGTTGGGCTTAATCCTGTTGGGCTAGTGATGACATTTTAACATCTTATTCGTACTATTTACTCTGTCTGTGTTTGTGGACAGCTTCAGAAACTTGTTCTTCAAAATGTCCTTGCTTTCAACGAGGGTTTCTGGATTCGACTAGCAGCAAGGACTGATACGTGCAAATCAGAGGATGATAAAGCATGGTTTCATTTTTTTACTCATTTTTTAATCTAAGTACCACGCACTGTTTTTTTTTTTTCAGAAAAAAAAGTCACATGCCCATGCGTTTATTAGCATTCTTATGCTCTCTCTCTCTCTATATATATATATGTATATATTTTTCAGAAAGATTACGAGGAATTGGCTGCCTCAGTAATGAGTATAGTTGATCACCTAGTCCATAAAACTAAGGTACCTCTCTCTCTGTCTCTGTCTCTCTTTCTCTCTCACACACACACACTAGACTAGTATTAGATTGCACGAGTCATGGTGTTTATTATTTTCTTGTAATGTCAATTCTACAGGAAAAAATAGAATCAGCTACTGATATTCTCAAGGACATTCTAAAACCTGTAGTTGACGAAGTGGAAGAGATTGCTTGGCCCCCCAGGGATCCTGAGGCTCTGAAGCTAATGGAAAAGGTATATCTTATATTTGGTATGGTGTGTCATGTGTAACCTCGATTAAGCTTGTATACACCTACTGAATGAGGAAGGGTTGAACTGGAGCTCCTTCAGAACCTGCTTTTCCTTTTAAATAACCTAGGACATTGGCCTGTATCTTGGGACTGTTTGCTACCGTTCGTCTTGCCTACATCAAAATAAACAATACTTATAATTTCACACTTCCAAGATTATTTTCTATTTTCTTCCTCTTGAAGTTTAGTTGTGGTAGAGTAAGCTATTAAATCGTTTTCTTCTGAAAAGTTTAGCTATTAGTCTTGATGGTTATGTCAGATTTAGTTTCGTCAAGCTTTCTTGGAATGTATTTGTTGATTAGGAAATAATCTATCGGGAGCAAGAAGGGCAACTAGATGAAGGCTTTCTCGCTGAAGTTAGTGCTCAATTGCGCCAAGTAAGATTTGATTTTCATCTTCATGAAATTTATGAGATAAGATTAATGTGCCTGAACTATTGAAAGATTTTCTCGCTTTTTTTTCTTTTTTTTTTCTTTAGTTCTTCACCTTAAGTTCTGTTTTTTGGAGTATTTATTCTATGTTGCCTTGAATGGTTAACCTTGTTCAATTGGTTCAGGCAAAAGAAGATGGAGACAAGCCAGGGTTAGAGGCTATGTTACAAAAGGTTTTGCAACTTTACGCATCCAGAGTTCTTTCTAAGAGAAGTTATGCAAAGAAAGGTAAAATTTTCATGGAGACATGTTGTTTATTTTCCGATGTTACCGAATTAGTTCGGTATGATCAAGAAATAACCTGTGCCCAGGGAATGAACTTGTATTTGACGTTCTGAGCTTGTTACTGAACACATGAAACGTCTTCTGAAAAGTATTGCCACTGATTCTTGGTCATCTATAATGTGGAAATGATGTATAACCTCAGAGAATAATGTAGTCAGAAAACTAAAAATAGTGCAAAGTGGAGTTTATTGAAGGGTAATTATAACACCATGGTTGAGCCGTTTAGGTATGTAAAAAAAAGAGCCATGGATTCAACCAACTCGTGGGTGGGGACAACCTTGCAGGTTTAAACCTCTTAGTTAGAGTACTCGTAAATATCCCACAGGTTTTGAGCTATAAAATGTCTTAGAATCATGTAGTAATTCTTAATTCTAAGTACACCTGCTTGTAAATAGTTTACTTGTATCATTTGGATAAAGCATTGCTTTGGTATTTAAATAATCGGATCTCCATTTGCAGGAGAGGAGGTCTTGAAAGCTGAACTGTTTTTAGAAACCATAATCAAAGGTAAGAGGAAACTTCCATACACATTTTGATGTTAAAAGTGAAATGGTTTATTTTTAATTAGTGACATGTCTTATCCAGTCCAGGTATGTTTGAGTTGGAAAACTCTACCTATTTATCTTCTCTTGTATCAGATTAACTGTGAGATCCCACCTTGGTTGGAGAGGGGAATGAAACATTTTTTATATGAGTGTGAAAACTTCTTCCTAGCAGACTGCAATTTAAAAACCTTGAGAGAAAGTCCAAAGAGGACAATATCTACCAGCGGTGAGCTTGGACTGTTACAAATGGTATCAGAGTTAGACACTGGGCTATGTGTCAACAAGGAGGTTGAGCCTCAAAGGGGGTGAACACTAGGCAGTGTGTCAGCGAGGAAGCTGGGCCCCAAAGGGGGTGGATTGGGGGGTCTCACACCGATTGGAGAGGGGAATGAGTGCTAGCGAAGACGTTGGACCTCGAAGGGGGGTGAATTGTGAAATCCCACATTGGTTGAAGAGGGGAACGAAACATTCTTTATAAGAGTGTGAAAACCTCTCCTTAACAGACCCGTTCTAAAAACCTTGAAGGAAAGCCCGAAAGGAAAAATTCAAAAAGGACAATATCTGCTAGCGGTGGACTTTGGCTGTTAACTTACAGGGAGTGGTATATTTGTCATCAACACTTTCTCCCACCAACCTTCCACTATCTCTAGCCGACCTACCTTATCTAACCAATAGAGAAATGATGTCTTGCAGCTCCTGAAGAAGAGTGGAACAAGCTCTTGCTTAATGGATTGACAATTGGGAAAGGTGAGATTTCACCAGATGAACTGGATGGTGTCATCAAGAAACGAATCGAGCGAACTCTAATACGAACAGTAAGACAGATTTCGATGATCCTTCCGTTATCAGCTCCTTTTTGGTGTTTTTTTCCCTATATTTGAACAATATTGTTCATGTTTTTGCACCCTTTATTTCCATGTTTCAGGAGGGAGGATCTTACCAGCAGCGTGTGCTCACTGAGTATCTAAAAGGAATCCAATCAAGGTCAGAGGAGATAGTCCAGTTGCTTCAAGGCAAGACACAGTAGCTCGAGTCGCCCGCTGTCGTAATGATTCTAATGAATGGATACCACAAGGTGTGGCTGACAAAGTGGAAGCAAATATGGGACCTTTTCATTTACACTCAGATTGAACATGAAAATTGAATCCTTCAAGTTGTTGTATTCTAAGGTACGCCCAGCTATGTTGCATCATGAGCCTTGCTCCTTATTTTTTGTCGTTTATTTTTATAGTCTATTATTTTGACTAATTAAATGTTTTGAATGAACGTATTCAAACATATATTCTCTCGTTTTTTATTACCTCTTCGATTTCTTTATTTTTTAATATATATTTATATACCTATAATAAATTCTAGATTTAAACTTTTTTGTTTTTTTGAAGGAGACTTAATTTCTTGTAGGGAGAATCAAATTGGGCAGGACCGAGAGGGAGAAGCCACCCTCGGTCTCACCCTTCTTCATAGACGTCTCTAATCTCATGCTCAGGTAGAAATAGTATAAATATCAAAGTTGCACAACTTTAATTTCTTAAGATTCTTAGCGATAAAATTACTTATAAAAAAATGGTGAACAAAATTATCTAAGTTAGTTTGGTATTCTATAAAAGTCATATAAATTAAAAAGAATGAGTTTTAAGTTATAATGATCGTCTAATCTTTATAAGTTGTCTCGTAAGAAAAGTTGAGGTTCACACAAACTAACTCAAATTCAATCATTAATCAACCATTTCTGTTTTAGTTCAATTTTGATCACCAACTCTATTCCACATATTAGGCCATACAATTGTAGAATTCTTGCACTAGGAAACGTCAACAACTTCCAAAAGGCTCGCCCATAGCCATGAGTAAAGTTGGAAGTTCTTTGGTTTAAGATAGTAGATCGTATATCTATTTATCTTTATATATTATGATCTAAATGACGTATGATTTAAATGATGTATTCATTGCAATAAACATGTCTAACATAAATGAAAAGAAAACAATGTCTTCTCTTGAATAGATGTTTGCAATATATTTATGCATATATCACTTTCGTCGTGAATTAATTCATCACTAAATTTTATGAATATTTTATTCGATTGAAAGGGTTAAATCTTATTTCAATTTCTCGTAATTTTTAAATAATGTATTATAATTATTTGAATCTGATAGATTCTTAATAAATTTATGACATTTTGACTTTATATCTTAACAATTTTTAAAAAAATTTAAAATACAAAAATAATAAATATACAGACACAAAATTAAAGGGTCAAGACATGGAGAAAAAAAAAAAAGATATTATTTAAATTTTACTTAACTAATATAATCTTTTAGTTAAAACATTATTTATTAAAAAAAAAAAGAAATTATTATATTTTGTGTAACAAAAACTCATTTGACAAATATATAAATAAAAATTAAAAAACCATTTCATCGCCAAACCACTTGTTTGCTTTAAATGATTATGTCAATTAAAATTAATTTACATAATTTATTCCATTAAAAAATCAGCTCTTAAATAAAATTACTTTTCTACTAAAACCTTAACAAATTAATAGAATTAAAATAAGTAAATAAGAATATAGAAATGGCAAATTAATTCAAACATTTTTATTTAATTTATATTAATTTTGTTGCTCTTATAAGTTATATATTAGCAAATTTAAAAGAAAAAAAAATATTACTAATAAGATAAATTATTTATGAAAATATAAATTTTAAATTGATAGTTTGTGTTGGAGGATAAAAGTCCCACATCGACTAATTTAGTGAATAATCATGAGTTTATAATCAAGGAATACTATCTCTAATAGTACAAAGTGGACAATATCATAACGTGGAGAGTTGTGTTCATCTAACTGTTTGAAGGATCCAAGGTATATAAATGATTTTTTTTTTCAAAACTAATTAAAATAATAACAAAAAAAAGAAATTATGTGTGTTTTTCTGTTTGGTCCCTGGAGAATTAAGAAATTGAGTTGTGACCCTTGAAATTAGGAGAATTGTATTGCGTGTCTCAAATTTTTGACTTGTGGAGTTGGGAGAGATCAAAAGGAAACAAACAGGCCATCAGATCCATCTCTCTCACTGAGACGCCTCTCTCCCTTTTTCTTCCCACTTTCTCTTCCCCTTTCTCCCTTCGATCTCCTTCTCCTTATCTTTCTTTCTCTAATATGTTCTTCCCCTGATCGCCTCCAATTTTCCCTTTCTTTGATCCCTCTCCATACTCCTCAGATCTGAGGTAATGCACGCATTTCTATTTGCTGTTGGATCCTTACTCTGTTTGCTCTCTCGCTCGTTTTTTTTTTTTTTTTTTTTT